TTCCTCAAAAGAATTCAAAGTATCTGTGAGGTAAAATAAATATGCACATTTGTGGACCATGCTAGAAGACAGCAACAAAATTCGAAATAAATTTCAATAACCTAAAGAGAAATGTTGTTCATATAAGTGAGAAGATGTATAATCCAGCAGCTTAATAGGTAAAGACAAAGAGTTGGCAGCTCAAAATAAGTAACTTATGAAGCCTGTAATAAAAAGATGCTCCATTCCCCTAATAATTAAATAATTGATAATTTAATTGATAGTGATATTCTAGTAACAATATTACCCATAAGGCTGTCAAAGAAAATTCATTTAAAATTAATAATCTTCATCCCATGATCCAGCCATCCTACACCAAGCCCTCTTGACTATTCACACAAATACATACACAAGAATTTTCTCTGCAACATTTTAATGATGTTAACAAAAAAGCCTTAGACATATTCACAAACATCTCAAGTCAGGACTAGTTAAATAAATCACTGTAACTCTGTACAACATAATTCTATGTATATATTAAATGAATTAGTTAGAGTTGCATAAGATAAGGCAATGAACTGAATGACACAGAAAAAAATATGCTTAAGTGGAAAAAGTCAATGTAACAGAGTATGTGCTCTACTATCACTCTTTGGGTAGAAACATGCATAGAGAAGTACAAAGAAAACTCTAAAAAAATCAATAAAAAAGTAAAAAAGCCAGGTATCCTCTTTTTAAAGTTAAAATTTGATGGGACTTCTATATTCTATGATTTATGAACCTTCACTGTTCCATCATTTGGATAATGAAATTTTCGTAAAACATGGTAAATTTTAACATTTATTTTAAAATTAATTTATTTTAGAAGAAGCACATAATCAAAGTCATGTGCTGTTTGTGGCTTTGGAACCTGGATAGAATGTCTGAAGATTTAATTTAAAGGAAGAAAGTAATAGAATAAACAGTATGTAAGTATTTCCTTAGTGAACGTGCTGTTTTATTGTGATGTACACTCTGGCAATTAGTAATCTAACTTAAAGCCCAACTGCCTTAATTGTGTATTGTCCTCCAGTTATGGTTTAGATAGTAGGTGTACCCCAAAAGTTCATGTGTGAGACACAATGCAAGAACATTAGGAGATGAAATGACTGGGTTATAACAGGTTTAACATACTCAATGCATTAATCCCCTGACAGAGATTAACTTGGTGGTAACTGTAGGCAGATGGGGTGTGGCTGGAGGAGGTGGGTCAGTGGGGGCATGCCTTGATATATATGTTTTGTCTGTGGTGATAAGAGCTTGCTCTCCCTGCTTCCTGGTGCCATGTCCCCAGCTGCTTCCCTCCACCGCACTCTTCCGCCATGATGTCCTGCCTCACCTCAAGCCAGCTGTCTATGGACTGAGACTTTTGACACCCTGAGCCCCCAAGCAAACTTTTCCGCCTCTAATCATTCTTGTTGGGTTTTTTAGTCACAGAAGTAAAAAAGCTGAGTAAAACACCTCCTAAATACAAGAAACTATAAAGAAAAAAAACAAAACATTTTTCCAAATGAATGCACTACTTAAAATATTTATATATATATACACAAAGTACGTCATATTTCATCCAAATTGATACCAATTAATCCATTTATTGACATGATATGTATTTTTTAATGATATGCAAAAAATTCTGGAAGTATTCTATCCAAAATTTCCAAAGCATTCATAGGACCAAAAATGTTAAAATGACACACTAAATGTAACCAAAACTTGGGACAGTATTTCCCCCTTTTCTATCATAAAATACATAAGTTTAGCTCACAAAACAGTATAGATAGCAAAAGAGATTTTTTCATGGCATTTTCTGATAAACAGTACCACTGTCAACCTCAACCAATTCCCAAAACATTTTAAAATGAGCAATTTAGTTGCTAGCTCCAAAATAAATAGTTTTATTTATGCAAAGTCAGAGACAGTCTTCGCTACATGGGCTACATGGTAGAACGTCTGCTTCCTTTCTCTCTGTGCCACAGTGACTCAACAATTTGGAAATCATCCCAAGTGATCCCCTTGAGTGTCCAAGGTCAGAGTCAGTTCCAACATTTGTGGACTCTAGTGCACTAACTAGAGTGCACTCTTGGTTCATGCTACTTAAGTGAATTCGATAAAGGACGTTGGAATTAACCACTAGTTAGGGTCTGTTAATTAAGAACTGTGTTTAATTTCCCACAAAACATACAAACTGAGTTGGTACTACAGATTTCTTATCTATTTGCCTTCCTGTGAGGTTAAGAACTGTTGTAGTGCTTGGTATTTAAAGAATGACTACTGAAGAGCATTCATTCAACTAAGGCAATGGTTCATTTTATGTAGTTTATGGAAAGATAACTTGACACCATTGGATATTCAGAATTTGATAATCTTAGGTAGAACATGTCTATTGCACAACTAGGAGCAAAACAATGGAACAATGGAGCTGTTACAATCTAGGCTCCTGTGCAGGAAAAACCATATTTGCTCGGCATTTTTTCTTATTATACAAATAGTATTCTGGACAGGTTACAAATTAAAAAAAAAACCCCACAATATTCTTACTTTATATGTATTTTTCCACCTTCAACCTTCATTACATATAAGTATTTTTTTTTTTTGGCAAAGTTCAACCACAGCATACATACATTTATATGCAGTTTTTAAATCTACTTTCAAATTAAAATTTGCTTGTTCCTGAGCAGCCTTGTTCTTCATCATGATACAACCATTTAAAGAGGGAAGGGTAGGAGAATATTTTTAATCTAACCATCCAATTACAGCATTTTAACTTTTTTTAGACTATTTTGGAATCTTAGCAGAGTCTTGAGCCCTTTTCTTTCTTTCCTGGCTCTGCTGTCATCAAATGACTGAGTAGAATCCACAGGTCTGAGTGCAAAATTCTTGCTTAGGTGTTTATAGCCTCAAATGTGATTTTTAGATACTTTCAAATCACTGATATCATTAATTTAATCTGTAATCTAATTTGCGTGTTTTATTTTTAAAATTATTTATTCTAATTTGTTGTACATGAAGGTAGAATGCAATTCATATTACACATAAAGAGCACAATTTTTCAAGTCATTGATTGTATGTGAAGTATTTTCACATCATTCATGTCTTCATACATGTACTTAGGGTAATGATGTCTAACTCATTCCACCATCATTCTTACCCTCTTGCCCCCTTCCTTCCTCTCCCTCCCCTTTGCCCTATCTAAAGTTCCTCCATTCCTCCCATACTCCCACCCTATCGCCATTATGAGTCAGCATCCTCATATCAAAGAAAACATTTGGTTTTTTTGGATTGGCTTGCTTCACTTAGCATGATATTCTCCAACTCTATCCATTTATCTGCAGATGCCATGATTTTATTCTCTTTTAATGCTGAGTAATGTTCCATTGTGTGTATATACCAAAGTTTCCCTATCCATTCATCTACTGAAGGCCATCTGGGTTGGTTCCACAATTTAGCTATTGTGAATTGAGCTGCTATAAACATTGATATGGCTGTGTCTCTGTCATATACTGTTTTTAAGTCCTTTGGGTATAAACCAAGGAGTGGGATAGCTGGGTGAAATGGCAGTTTCATTCCAAGTTTTCCAAGGAGTCTCCAAACTGGTTTTCCAGATTGGCTGTAACAATTTGCAGTCCCATCAGCAATGTATGAGTGTGCATTTTTCCCCACATCCTTGCCAACACTTATTGTTGTTTGTATTCTTGATAGCTGCCATTCTGACTGGAGTGAGATGATATCTTAGAGTAGTTTTGATTTGCATTTCTCTAATTGCTAGAGATGTTGAACATTTTTTCATATATTTGTTGATTGATTGTATATCTTCTTCTGAGAAGTGTCTGTTCAGGTCCTTGGCCCATTTATTGATTGGGTTATTTGTTTTTTTGAGTTAAGGTTTTTGAGTGCTTTATATATCCTAGAGATTAGTGTTCTATCTGATGTACAAGTGGTAAAAATTTGACCCCATTCTGTAGGCTATCTATTCACCTAACTCATTGTTTCTTTTGCTGAGAAGAAGCTTTTTAGTTTGAATCCATCCCATTTATTGACTCTTCCTTTAAATTCTTGCGCTATAGGAGTCTTATTAAGAAAGTTAGGATCTAATCAGACATGATGAAGACTTGGGCCTACTTTTTCTTCTGTTAGACACAGGGTCTCTGGTTTAATTCCTAGGTCCTTGATCCACATTGAGTTGAGTTTTGTGCATGGTGAGAGATAGAGGTTTAATTTCATTTTGTTAATGTGGATTTCCAGTTTTCCCAGCACCATTTATTGAAGAGGCTATCTTTTCTCCAATGTATATTTTTGGCACCTTTGTCTAATATGAGATAAGTGTAGTTATGTAGGTTAGAATTTTGTGTATTCTGTATCATTGGTCTACAGGTCTATTTTGGTGCCAACAGCATGCTATTTTTGTTACTATTGTTCTGTAGTATAGTTGAAGGTCTGGAATAGTAATGCCACTAGCTTTACCTGTCTTGCTAAGAATTGCTTTGGCTATTCTGGGTCTCTTATTTTTCCAGATGAATTTCATGATTGCTTTTTCTATTTCTATAAAGAATGTCATTGGGATTTTGATTGGGATCACACTGAATCTGTATAGTTTTTTTGGAAGTTTGGTAATTTTGACAATATTAATTCTGCCTATTCAAGAACAAGGTAGATCTTTTCATATTCTAAGGTCTTATTCTTTAATTTCTTTCTTTAGTGTGTTGTAATTTTCATTGTAGAAGTCTTTCACCTCTTTTGTTAAATTTACTCCCAAGTATTTTATTTTTTTAAAAAACTCAACCAACTTCTAATTAAAAGAAAATTAAACAGAAATCCTTATCTCAAAAGTACATCAAAAAGCAAAAATAAATAATAAATAAAAATTAAAAAATAAAGAAGAGAAACATGATAAAAGGTATCAATAGTAAAACAGATCAACAGAAAAAAAATCTGTGAAATCAAAGACTATTTGAAGATACACAGTTAAATGAGAAACAAAGAAATAGAATGAAGAAGAATGAAAGAATTCTTATAGGAACTTTGAGATGCCACTAAAAGAACATATATTTGGGTGACTGTGATTCAAGAGGGACTTGAGGATGCCAAAGATGAAGAAAGCTTATTCAAAGAGATAATAACAGAAAATTTCCCAAACTCAGAGAAGGATACCACTATTAAGGTACAGGAATGTCAAAGGTCACCAGTAATTGTTAACTCAAACAAGTCTATCCCAAGACATATTATTATGAATCAAATATTCAAAAATTAAAGACAAACTGTTTTTGAAGCATCGAGAGAAAATAAATAATAAATAGAAGTATTCCAAACCGCGCAAAAGTTTTCTCAGGATGAACACTGCAGGCTAGGAGGCGTGGGATAAAATTTTGTGCAGAATGAGAAAAACAAATGCAAAAACAAAACAAAACAAAAAACTACTAATAAGGAATACCATCCCCAGCAACAGTATTCTTTAGAAATGAAAAATTTAAAGATATTGCCAAGCAAAAGCTAAGAAAATCTATCACAACCTGACCAGTCCTGCAAGAAATGGTAAAGGGATTTCTCCAAACTGAGGGATACTATTGAGTGTGAAGAAAACATCAAACAGTGTACAGTTCACTGGAAACAGTACCTACACAGACACATGCAGAAGGCTCTAATATAGTAAACATGCTACAGAAACCATTTATATCTTTAGAATGAAGACTAAAAAGCAAAATAATAACTATATTAATATCTTAAAATAGAGGCACTATAGAAAGAAAATATGACATCAAAAATTTACAATGTTGGGAGGAATAGAGGAAAGGCATAGGTAGTGTTTGCCTTTCACATATATGCACGTAAGCATGTATTTATTTGTCAATTTAGTTAGCTTTATTATGTAATATTTATTAATTGTAATTCAAATCTTCTGCACTGTTTGATTTACTTTTCTTAATCTACTGTGGGCTGCTGGAGGTTAATTAAAGCCTGTAATCACTATTGTGTTTGTCAGTTTCTTCTTTGACTTTTCTGTAACTTACACTTTATGGATCTTGCTGTGATAGTATCTGGAGACACATAGTTTTGTCTTCATTATGTTCTTCAGCATAAATTCCTCATTCATCTCTCTGATGAGTTCATTGTGAATTTAGCTTTGAGTAATAAAAATCAGAGCAACTTTATTCTTTATTAGTGTTTCTAGTATGTTTAACCTTTTTGTGTCATTTTGCTTTAAATGGATCTCCTGTGGATAGCAGATAGATGGTTTTGCCCAATCTGTTTTTATTTTTAAATTAGTTTTATTGTACCCATGTGTTTTGTTTTAGTCTTATTTTATGTTTGGCTTGAAGAAACCATAAAATATACATTCTTATACACACACATGAAAGTCTATCCATCATTTAATTTGAAGCCCTGTGGATAGTTCGATGTTATTAATTTTTGAGTCTTTTACGATTCCCAGAGGTGTGCATAAGGGCTGGTTTTTTGACTTGAACTGAAATGTCAGAATGAGTGAATGGACAGCAGCAGAGTTTGGAAAATAATTGACAACTCAGGGGTGATGAATTGGGGCAGGAGTCTTCTGGCTTCTGGAGGAGCACAAAACCTGGGTTGCTGCATCGCTCCAGCGTGTGCACCAGCTGCTTCTGGGCTCGGCACAGACTAATTGGACAGACACACTCCTGGTCAATAAGAAATAAAGCACTGCCCTGCCTCTTCAGCCACCTGGCCCTTACTACCAATCAATCCGGGGCCGTTCCAGTTTGGAATGAGAGTTTAACTGCCCCATTTGCTTTTCCTACTTCAATGTGAGGCTGCAAACAGCAACCAAGGAATAATTCAAAGAAGCTTCACATTCACAGAAACACAGACATGTGGGGCCTGCAGGAAAGCTCCATCCAAGGTGGACTTTCCCTTCTTGACTTCTTGCTCCACTCAAGCTCCTCATTGTCTCTGCCTCCTTCCCGAAGTCGTTCTTCATTTGCCTTACATTATGCTAGTCTTCTCAATATCCTTTGATAGTCATATTTCTGAATTCTTTAAAAGAACCTTTGAAAGAATGAGGTTGCAGTCACTGCATTTTTATTCCTAGGCGAGGCGGGAGTAGATAAGACTTAAAAAGAAAATTAAAAAGCAGCTACAAGGGTTTGTTGGCCCACCTGTCCTGCCCACAGTAAAAAGAGCTTCCCCTGGAGAAACCAGAAGGGGATGGGGATAGGATTGGGGTGGAGAAATGCAGGTAGATTTGTTTGAAGAAAAAAAGGATTATATTTTTAAGAAAACAGGCATGTGTACTTAGAAGCTGATTTATGAAGTGATAGATTATGCTTTTGAATATAAATGGAAAACAACAATCACCGTAAGATGAAAACCAAATGTTGGACTGGGGGAATTCTGTGCTAAATGAATGCTGATCAGGTAACAGAGCAGGCACTACAACCGTGAAAGTACATAGTCCTTGGTCTTTGGAAAAATTCAAAAAAGGAAAAAAAAATAAAAAGGCAACCCATACCTTCAGGAAAGGGATCAAAAGACAGTGCCTACCGTATGTCCCCTCTCTTCTTTTAGTTCTGCAGAGAACTTGGAAAGTCACAGGACATGGGTTCCATGAGCTCCGGTCACCATCTTCACTATTTTGCAAGGTGGTGGTAATTTCTTTACAACAAATCAAAGTGATCACATTGTTTTTTGGAACAGTTTTATGAACTAGGCTTTGCATACTCTTGCACAGACCAGCTATGATAATAAGCTAAAGCTAAAACAAAACTTGCAAACTTGCAGAAATGAAATTGGTGGAAGTGGGAAAAACCACAGCTGAAAAAAAGACCCATTCATTTATTCTTCATTCCACTTTTTGAACGGTTTTATTAGTGAAAGGTGGACTAGAAGATTGAATTGTCCTTTATTTTGAGAACCTGATTAGGGTTGTGAATTTCACGCTAAAACTATGAAATAAGTTCTGGAAAGAAATTGAGCAATATGGAGTTTCAGCATGATATACATATAGACCTGACAGAAGCTAAGCAAATTCATATCCAGGCAAATGAACATCTTTCCTAAGAATCAAAACAAAACAGCATTTGCTTTGCAATTCATTTTTATACTTTGGGGTCCTGCAATCTTTATCATTCTTCCCCAGATGGATTTCCAGCTTTGCCAAGTAACTGTGAGGGTTCACCGTGGAAGCCGGACAGCAGAAGAGTAGGCTGGAACCCAAAAGCCTTCCTGTGGACGTTGGTGTGTTGATGGACTCAAGTCTCACTGGCTAAAGCTCTCATCCTCTGACAGACTGACATTTTGATACAGGAGATAAGAGAAATCTGCCCCAGTCTTGTCTTCATATTCAAATTAAAAGGGAAAAAAAGCAAGTAGGCTTTAAAAAAAAGAAGAAAAGAATGTGATTTGGCAACTGACAAAGCTTTGTGTCTTTGAGTAATGAGCAAGTAAGTTAAAATACCCACTCAGATTATCAGGCTCTTTATGTCAAATGGCTCAATTTCATCCTACCTATTTTTTTCTTTGTTTGTATAAAACATACCAAAACCCATGAATTTAATTAAAGTCAGCGGGCTTTACTTGGCTTTCATGTTTTACGGAAGCATGACTTTCCACTCTTGAGCTCCATAAATAATAACTGTGTGGATTCTTATTTTTAATTCACAGTGCTTCTTCAAACGAACTTCCCTAGGAAAGAAGGTCTCATAAGGAACAGAATTCAAACTCCAGTGTTTACAGAGTTGGGCTGCAGCGAGTCTGACCAGAAACAGCCATCCGCTGGCAAGGTACACAATCTCTGTCAATTCTGCCAGAATTTAAGTTGGGGAATGGATTTTTTAAATAAATGACCCAAGTGGCATAAAGGAAGTTGTGACTGACGAACACATGCTTGACCAATTTGTAGGTTCAACTCAAACATACTTAGTAGTTATTCAGGTTTTTTGTTTCTGATCCAGGTCCTCAGGTCCTGAGGGATCTGTGGAGGAAGAAGGAAGGAGGAGGGAAGCAGATGCTCTCCCTGCCAGAAACCGCTTGTAATACACAATATCCACTTTCCCATTTGTACAGAACAATAGAAACTCTGATCTTCAGACCTCTCTCTCTCTCTCTCTCTCTCTCTCTCTCTCTCTCTCTCTCTCCTGAGAACAGAGATGACATGACTCAATCTCCTCTGCAGCTAGGTAAATCAGTGAGAGAAAGTTCTAGCTTAAAAGATACACGCAGAAGTTGTATGGCAGACTAAGGAATTCCCCTTAAAGAGACAGTTAATGCTTTTGCTAGTCTATGCTGTTCCCTAGAATAGGAGGGACAGGATGGTGGAGCTGCAGTGGTTACCCCTGCCCCCATGAAAGCTCCACCCAGGACTGGTGGAGAGACAGGTGGGAGGAGCCAGGAACCAGTGTCCTGGATGACCTTGAGAAGTGAGGCAAGGAACATTTTTTGACTGTATCCAGTGACTTCACTTGAGAAAGAAATCTCTCCTGCATTGAAGCTACCGCTATTCTGAGCCTTTGTTCCTCCAGCTGAATGAATCCTGATGGATATGCTTTCAGGAAAGGCATCTTTGAAGAAGTAATTATATGTGTAATGAAATGGATGTAAAGAGTGTTGTAGGAGCTGGAGGTGGTGGCCCATGCCTGTACTACTCAGAAAGCTAAGGCCAGGGGACCTCAACTTCCAAGCCAGCCTGGGCAACTTAGTGAGACCCTTTCTGAAAATAAGATCTATGAAAAAGAAGACTGTGAGTAAGCTCAAGGGTAGAGTATCCCTGGGTTCAATTCTGAGCCTGCAAAACAACAACATCACCATCACCAACAACAAACCAGAATGTTATAGGAACCTAGGGGCCAAGGATATCCATAATCTTTTTGTGTCTGTGCTTATCTATTAATTAAATGGCAGAAATGAAATTTTTAGACTTTATTGTCTTTGGCTTAGTAAATTCTCCTCTAAGAATTAATCCTAAAAGGAAAAATCATAAACAGAGATAAAACATCTTGCAGGTAGCTATCTCTTATAGTATCATTTATAAATGTAAAAAGAATACGACTGTCCAAGGGAAACAAACAGGTAAAAGTATTTACATTGCACAGAATGTTATGGAAGGCAATAAATGTATAATTTTGAGGACTGCAGACAGCATGTGATATACTTTTAGGTCTGTTTTAGAATAATATGGAAAAGGAGTATAGACAACAATAAGTATGCACACAGAAAATGACAGTAAATACATCAAAATTGCTGTTATTTGTTGTTTGGATGACAAGATTATGGATGATATATTCTGATTCTGAATATGGATCTTTCCTAATTTTCTGATATTCCAAATTTTCTTTAATGAGCATATAAAACATAAAAACCAAATCTAAATACACTTTAAAAATTTCCCTTGCTCTAGAAAACTATCAAGATAAAATGAAATAAAGACAGTAATAAGGTCTGCCAATTACACTTAGAACAGCAGTAATATGGGGTTAGGGTGCCTGCGAACTGTCTTATAGAATCACATATAAAAGAAGCACAGGAGTTTCAGTTTAATATAAATTCAATAGCAGTTGATATTTAGTAGTATTTATTACGTGAATTATTGAAGGAGCTAATCCAGAGCTGAGCTTCTGTACAACGGTGGTGTTCAAGAAAGGACAGCAGCAAACCGCTGGACTCACTGCTGTAGCGTGACAGCATCCTGCTCTGCTCTTAGTAAGATGCCGACGCACAACAGTGAGTCCATGGAAAGCATGTGGAAGACGTTAAGTGCAGCACCTTCAGGAAATTAGGACATTTACTCTAGAAAAGAGTTCACAGAGGAGACATGCTAATTGGCTTCTGCGTGCAGGCTGTGGTGGAAAGGCTGGCCTTGCATGCCAGTTCAGGGATGAAGGAGTCCAAGGTGAAGCAGATCGTGTGCAGTCGAGGAGGCAGAGAACCTGCGTGTTCCCTGCTATGATCTTGCAGTGACTTCTGCTTCTTTCTTACCCTTTGAGCTGTTTCCCTACTTGTTTACTAGTAAATATTGAATTTTTTCTAAAACCAAATCCATTTAAACAAGGAGGATTTTTTTATTTTTTAATATATTTTTTGAAGTTTGGCTTTAAAAATCATTTAAAAATCATCTAAATTAGCTCTAAGTTTTTTGTCACTAAATCTATAATACTCTTCAGTCAATGGCTTCAGAGAGTAAAGTACTTTCCATATATGATCTTTCTGAATTCTGCAACAATCCCCATGTTGTGCAATTTCTTTGCTTTTCTAACCTGTGGTCAGATGTTTCACTGTGGTTCTGATGTCTCCCTCTATTTTGGAGTTTTATTTTTGATGACCCATTCCAACCTCCAGCAAACTCTTTATGGATAAAGGAGGCAACAGGGTTGGGTGGGGCAGGTGTAGATTCTCACATTGATACTGCAATCAGGAGATGTCGGGCTTTTCAAGTCAGGTAAGTTAATTATGAAGGAAGTGTGGCTAGAACACAGGTCCTGCTCTACTATGCTGCCCCAGTAAACTCCTGTTTCCTTCCTTCTCCTTCCCAGGACTATCATTAGGAACCAACACAGGACGAAGTGAACATACCAGCAGTAACACCCACTTAACAAATCCATGTTCACATTCTAAGTAATCTTCGTTATGTTCATGATTGGCTTCTTGACAATCTCACTTCAGCTGGAATCTCCAAAGTAGGAGCAAAATTGAACAAGATGGGCCCAACAGATAGGTTAATTATGCTTCTGAATTCGGAGTAAAATACTCTTTTTATAGAGCTTTTGATATACTGTCCACAGGTTGAAAGCGTTTTAAATTTCCTATTTATGCTTCTTTTTTAAAAATCTCAATATATTTGTTGTTCATATCTTTTCATAAGAAAATCAAAAATAGTCTATAAATGTGACCAAAATTTGCATGCTTACCCCAAATACATGGGCACACAACTTTAGAGAGATGCTGAGAAACCATGTTAACTGAAGAGCATTAGGAAATATATTTAATCAGTTGCAAAGCTTTAGGAAATACAGCACCATTTAAGTAGTTCCTAAATGTAGGCCAGTGGTTATTAAACCCAGAGGTATGGGATGGGGTCCTTATCCACCTCAAGGCTGCCTTATTTGAGTACTTCTATTTGAGAAATCAATAAGAAGAACTACTTGCCTAGATTCTCTAATTCCCCACATTGAGCTCTTAGACTCTTTTTCTAGTCTTTAACTAGCAATGATTTGACAGAGAAAGCTAAAAAAAAAAAAAAAAAAAAATCAGGAAAGACAGAGACCAGAAATGATGGCCCCATTCTTCCTAGAACACACTATTACCCACCCCATTCGACCTCCCAGGAAAACAAGCTAGCAACTGCATTTTACACTGAAACCCATTCTCTGGTTAGAGGTTACATTTCTGGTAGGGCACAGGCTGTTTCTAAGGGTGCAGAATGAAATGCAGAAAGCCATCATCAATCATTCATCAGTTACAATTACCATTTGCATCCATTTATCTAATCACAGCCTGCAGTAACCACCACCCACGAACAGTTCAAAATCAGTCTAACACAGAAGCGAGGAAGGGATTATAATTCTCTAACATTGTCTAATACACACGACTGCCCCTGCTCATGTTGCATGTTAATGAACTCTACGTGTTCTGTCTTTGCCATATCACACACTTATACAGGCTAAAACAGGGTAGAATTATTCTACTGCAATGAGAATATATGGATAATCACATGCCACATTTCTTTAAACCACTGAAGACATAAATCCTTTGAGTTGTTAATTCCTGGGACAGGTTTGAAGCACATTCTCTCTTTTTGCTTATATAACCATGTAAAGTGCATGATTTTGCAAAGCTGTCATGACTTCCATTCCTCTTCTTTCCTGATCTTGCTTACATATGTCCCCAATCAGTGTTCTGTTTCTATGCACTGATTTTATTTTTCCTACCAGGCTTTATCTCAGTAGCTTTGACATCAGGTTCTTTTCATGATGACAATTAGGTCTGAAGTTTCTACATGTTCACTTTTCCATGGCATCTTTTGGGGATCATTATAAACAAAGTTGAAAGCCTTGAAGACAGTTCTCCACAGGAAGTGAGTGACCTTCCTTTTCCCTCTGCTTGCAAAGTTCCTCTACTCATGCCTACACACAGGTTTGCAAGTTTGTGCAAGCCTGTGTGCTTAGAATCACCTCACCAGCCAGACATGCACTGAACTGGTTTCTGCTTACATCTTGTTATATCATTAATGTGCTTACACACTTTTTACTCTACATATCATAGTGTACCTATCTTAAATTCTCAAATTTCTGCATTCCAATCTTTAATCTGAAAATGATAAAGGCTATTTCATAGTGTCCTTATGAGGAATATATAGTACCTAGGATTGTTCAAGGCATTTATTGTGCATTTGATAAAAGTTTTATTCCTTTCCTCCTTTTTCATGTGCCAAAGAGGAGAATGTCAATTTTTTTCTGAATGTTTATGTATATATAATTATTATAGATTGAAAAATGTTAAGTAATATAACATGCAGTGATAGCAAAATTATTTTGTTGCTTAAGGCTAAAATTTAATCAAGGTTTAAACTGCACCCTTCACTACCATCAGGTACAAAGACCTGCAGAAACAAGCAGAACACCTCTAACTAACTGAAGTCTAGGTCACTCAGGCTACCCTGCTATTGGACTGTGTTAATGTAGCTACATAAACTTTGTGGGGAATTTAGCATTTTGTTGCATTGCATGCTTGCAGTTTTATAATGTTAACTAAATTCATTGAACAAGGGGAGGCCTGGGGGGTATGAAGTGCATTAACTCTACAGTTATTTCAGATGGATTTAACTGCATCTCTTCTGTTCTTTGGGTCAAAAGATTAGTTGCTATTTGCATTCTAGTTGAAAACCTCCTTAAGGAAGCTGACAATATGGTGAAGACTGCTATTTTCAGGTCATTATCTCCTCCCTTTTTCTGTCTCACATTTAGATCTGGTCTCCCTACA